GAGCGAGTATTAGGTTACTCTCTAGGCGGGACCAGGGGCATGCTGGGAAGAAGGGTTTGTTCTTTGGTGGGAGCAACCATCTTGGCATGACGTCACACGGGGGAGGGGGCAAGGCACGAGAGGAAGAGGGCAGCTCCTCTACATAATAGCTGCTGAGGTGGTGGGAGACCTGTCAGGCAGGAAGTACTTGGTGGGTCAAAGCTGCTCCTCAAAGTCAGGGAGCAAAAGAGAGAAAAAGGGGCTGGGGATTTAGCTCAGTGGTTTCACCGCCTGCTGCGCAAGCGCAAGGACCCAAGTTCAATCCCCGGTACAAAAAAAAAAGAGAGAGAAAGAGGAGGGGGCAGGGATTTAGCTCAGGGGCACTGCGCCTGCCTCAAAAGCACAAGGTTCTGAGTTCGATCCCTGATACTAAAAAAAAAAGAGAGAAAGAGAAAGAGGAAAGGACTGGGGTCCCTTTTAACCCTTTGGAGGACCCCCCAGTGACAGAGACCTCCTGCTAGGCTTCACCTCTTAAGGTCTTCTCTACCTCCCAACAGCACCAAGCTAGGGACTGAGCCCTTAGCACCTGAGACCCTGGGGACACTTATCCAAACCATAGCAAGCAGGGAGTTAGCAAAGGTGAGGGAATCTGGCCCAAGGCTCTGTGGGGAAGAGCATTCCTGGCAGAGGGAACAGTGAACACAAAGGCCCTGAGATAGAATGCCCAGTGCAGGATTCATGAGATGGGTGACAGCAAAGACTTGAGATGAGGAATGACCCAGCTGTCACTGAGGAAATGAAGGTGACAGCTGAAGAGGCCTGAAGCCTGAGCCTGGGCACTCCAGTGATCAAAGTCCTAAACAGGAAGTCACTGAAGAAGGAGAAGGAGAATCAAGGGAGTTTCTCAACAAAGACACTTTCCATCACTGGGACAAAATACCTGACAAAAACAGCTTACAGAAGAAAAGGTTTATTTTGGCTCACGGTTTCAGAGGTTTCAGTCAGAGGTTGGCTGGTCTGACAGCAAAAACATCATGGCAGAAGGGGATGGCGAAGGAAAGCTGCTCAATTCCTGGCAGCTGGGAAGCAAAGAGAGCAAGGAAGAGACAGGGAAGAAGAGGCTGGAGACAAGATAATTCCTAAGGTCATGTCCCCGTGACCTAATTCCTTCAACTGAGCCCTACTTCTTTAATTTCTGCTACCTTCCAATAATGCTATCAAATTATGGTCTCACCAATGGATTGATCCACTGAAGTTAGAGTCTTCATGATCCAAATCATCTCAGAAAGCCCTAGACTTTAAGGGAACATCTTAGATTTTCCATAACAAATGATAAAGTGCACCACACTGCTGATGGGTTGGATGAGGGCTAGGCTCACCATCAGCAACATGGCCTTGATAAGAGTGAGTCTGGTGTGGAGGGAGGATCAAGACCTGGTCAGAATGGGTTCAGATGTTAAATTTAAATGTTGGGCTTGCCAGCCAGGCATGATGATGCACGCCTATAATCCCAGCACTCATTCAGGAGGCTAAGGCAGGAGGATCGCTGCAAGTTTGAGGCCAGCCTGGGCTACACAATGAGTTCATGGCCAGCTTGAACTGCATAGTGAGAACCTGTCTCAAAGAATGTTAGGCTTCTGGCCGGGGATTTAGCTCAGTGGTTCTGGCGCCTGCCTTGCAAGCGCAAGGTCCTGAGCTTGATCCCCAGTACCAAAAAAAAGAAAAAAAAAAAAGTCAGGCTTCCTCAGCATGCCTCGGTATTCAGCTCGGGGTTGGAAGAGGTGGGGAGGAAGGGAAAGAGAACAGGAAGGGAAGGATTAGAGACTAGCAGAAATAATACCTCCATGCTTTGTTGTTGTTGTTGTTGCTGTGCTGGGGATACAACTGAGGGCCTTGTACCTGCTAAGTATGTACTCTATCTGCAGCCCTTTACACATATATCTTTTTTCTTTGTTTTGGTACTGAGAATCGAACTCAGGGCCTCAAGCATGCCAGGCAGGTGCTGTGCCACTGAGCTACATTCCCAGTCCGTCCACACATTTCTATGTAAAGGGACCAGAGAAATGGCTGATATCCAGCAGGAGCTGTGACATAAAGAGGATTTTTTTTTTTCCATACTAGGGATTAAACCCATCCCTGGTCTTTTTTTTTATAGCCTCACTACATTATCCAGGCTGGGCTCAAACTTGTGATCTTCCTGCCTCGGCCTACACAACCATGTCTGGGGATTTCTTCTTTTTGTTTTTGTTTTTATTTTTATTTTTATTTATTTATTTTTTAATTTTATTGTTTTTTTGGTACCGGGGATCGAACTCGGGTCCTTCCTCTTGCAGGGCAGGCGGCGGAACCACTGAGCTAAATCCCCGGCCTTTGTTTTTGTTTTTAAATAGAAGATCTACTAAAGAGGGGAGGAGAAAGACAAGGGGAATTGCCCGGCTGTGCGGTAGAAGTAGAGGCTTGGCCACTGAGAGCAGGGGGGCCATCATCCCAGATGGGCAGCTGAGTATGAGGATAGAGAGGAGGCATTGAATGCAGGGTCACCTAGGACGACAAGCAAATGAATGACCACGGGAGCTGCAGCAGCAGGGGCAGCCTGGGACCCACTGCAAGGGGCAGTCATGGCTCATTCCGAGCTTTGTCTCCAGCATGCGCAGCTGTGTGGGTGCAGCACAGAGCAGTGGGGAGCAGGGAGCCTCTCTTCAGGGAAAGTGTTATCTGAGTGGAGGTGGGAGTAGGAAGTCGGAGTAAAGCATTTTCCAGGCAGGTGAAGCGGCAGCTGCCAGTGTGCCGAGGTAGGGCCGCATGGTGTAGAGAGGGAGAGAAACAAGCTCTGGTGGCTCAATCCTGGTGAATGCCAAGAATGACCTGAAATGCCATCCGAGAGGTGGGCCCAATCCAAACCACACAGAGCTTTCTGGGCATACTAAATACTCTGGTTGTTTTTCAGGTGCAGTGAAAGTCTCTGCAAGGTGTTAAATGGGTTTTTCAGAGGTCACTGTGGTGCTGGGCTGAGGGGAACTGAGTGCTCCTGGCAGGCTGGGGAGGGCAGCCCCAAGGCGTGGGCTACATACAGGGTGGTGCTGAGGCAGGCAGATTCTATCTTCTATCCGTGGGACTTGCAAGTGGGTCTGAGCTAGAGCTGAAGGAGGCAGACATGGGGTGTAACCTGAGCAATCTCCTGCATACCCCTGAGCTGTCTCCCCTCTCACACACAGGCCTAGGCATGAGCTTCAGCTTCCAGGCCAGCATCACGGTACTCGGCTTGTACTTCGTCCGCCGGCGGCCACTGGCCAATGCCCTGGCCTCCATGGGCATCTCCCTGGGCATCACCCTCTGGCCACCATTTGCCCGCTACCTCCTGGAGAACCTGGGCTGGAGGGGCTCCTTCCTTATCTTCGGTGGGGTCTTCCTCCATTGCTGCATCTGTGGGGCCATCATCAGGCCTGTAGCCACCAACACGGTCCCTGAGACCAAAGAAGATCCCTCTTCCTCTTCCAAGACACCAGCACAAGGCTGCTTGGCAGCGTGTAGCTCAGGCATCCAGCACCACCTGGCCTTTGACATCCTGCGACACAATGTGGGCTACTGTATCTACACGCTGGGTATGACATGGACGTTCATGGGTTACTCGTTGCCACATGTCTTCCTGGTGCCATATGCCATGAAGTATGGAGTGGAGGAGTACCGGGCAGCCCTGCTCATCTCCATGCTCGGCTTGTGCAACATCTTCCTGCGCCCCGTGGCAGCCCTAGTGATAGGCTGGCCATGCTTTGCCTGCTACCACAAGTACCTGTTCACCCTGGCAATCCTACTCAACGGGCTCACCAACCTGGTGTGCACAGTGTCGGCCAACTTCTGGGTGCTGGTGAGCTACTCCGTGCTGTACAGCGTGTCCCTGTGTGGCACTGGCATCCTAATCTTCCAGGTCCTCATGGAAATTGTCCCCATGGACCGGTTCCCCAGCGCTCTGGGCCTCTTTTCCATCATCAGTGGCATTGCTCCCCTCATCTCTCCGCCACTGGCTGGTGAGCCTCTGGGAGGGAGGGCATCCAGGGGGGTCCAGAGGCTGTGGGAGAGGCAAAGTGGAACAGTCTGGACAGATCTGGGCCCCATTCGGCACCATCTCCAGGGGTAGGGAGTTAGCATCTGTGATTTTTTTCCCCAGTACCCTAGAGCAGTGGTGGCGAACCTATGGCACACATGCCACAGAGGGCTGTTGGAATCATTGAAAGCTCTAAAATGTTCGCCACCACTGCAGTAGGGACTGTTTCCCGCCTGGTGGGAGTAAGAACAGTTGAAAAAATGGATTTGCCCACCAGCCCTACCTGAGTTCATCTTTCTCTCTGTACCTCAGTTTTCCTATGAATGAAGTAAGGAGGATAATAGAATCTATCTTATGGTCTTACTGCACTACCCCGAGTTAAGCAGTAAAGAGCTTAGTAGAAAGGAAAAAGAAAAGAGCTTAGTAGAGAACCTGACACATAATAAGCACTATACACATTTGCTGTTGTCAATATACTGGTTCTCCTACTTTCTACTTAGAAGACTTGGGCAAGTCAATTTCCTCTCTGAGCCACAATGTCAGCTTCAAAATCCAGAAGAGAAGCTGGATGTGGTAGTGCACATCTGTAATCCCAGCTACTCGGGAGGCTGAGACAGAGGATTGCAAATCTGAGGACAGCTTGGGCAACTTGGTGATTAAGCAAGAACAGGTCTCAAAATAAAAAATAAAAAGGACCAGAGTTGTAGCACAGGGTGAGGCCCTGGGTTCAATCCTCCGTATTAAGGGGGGGAGGGTGAAGAATTCACCATTAGCCTAGATCTAGTACTTCCTCCTTCGTTTCACTCATGAAATATCTGAGAGTTTGCTGGGTGCCAGCAATGAGTCCTTGTCCAGAAGAGGCAAAAATAATATCTCTGCTCTCAGGGAACACATAAGTTAGTGGGAAGAGGCCTGATAGGCAGCCCTGAGCAGTGACCTAATTTGCTGTCTGTCCGCTAGGCTTGGTCCTGGACACCACCAGCAACTTCAGCTATGTTTTCTACATGTCAAGCTTCTTCCTCACCTCATCCAGCCTCTTCATGACTGGAGGCTTCTATTACCTGCAGAAGAAGGAGCAGCAAGGCAGGCGACCCAAGGTGGAAAGAGCCATCTCAGAGACTAGCCTGATGCAGGGGCCTATGCCAGAAGGCAAGGACAGTCCCAAGGAACAGCCATGCCTTGAGATCACGTATGTGACCAGTGTATGAGCCCTGCTCAGTGGGTGACATTCCTTCTGGCCAGCAGAATGCAGAGAAGGCCTTTCTGGCTTTCTTCCTTGGGTCTGAGAAGGTGTCTCTGAGCCCTGCTGGGGGCAGCCATGGCAAGCTCAGCTTGGTGGGAGGCTTACTGCAGCTACTATGCCCCAACACACTGGACCTTCATACCCAAACTTCAGCAGTCCAACCTCAGCTCTCCTTGTCCTTCTGTGGCCTCAAGACAGTTCTAAAAGAGAAGGCCGGGGATTTAGCTCAGTGGTTCTGGTGCCTGCCTCGCAAGCACAAGGTCCCAAGTTCGATCCCCAGTACCAAAAATAAATAAATAAATAAATAAATAAAAATAAATAAAAGAGATTTCACTTCTTCCAGGGCCACAAGTGATCAGCTTGGACCCTTAGGACTGTTACAGAAATCTCGGGAAGAAATACACAGAAGAGACACAGAATTTGGATAAAATAATAAAATTTCTTCTCGCAAGTGGGCGGGAACGCCAGAAACCAGTCTGGTCAGTATCTGCACCCCCACCCCTTGGTCAGCGTTTCCCTTTTCATATCCTTTTTAGCCATTATCTCATCCCTAGTGGTCTTTGATGTGTAAATACAATCCCAGTTCCTATCTACAAGTCACAGACACAAGATAGGCCATATACATTGTAAATTCACCCTGGCATGGTAACTTTGTTAGGTTAATGAAGTTGCCAGTTAGAGTCAGAGAATCATCACCTTAAACTAGGAGTTATGGGAAAAGCAAATCTTAAAAGAACACATTACTTATTTTGCTTCTACAACTACCTTAATATTCAGTCTATTAAGTTATCTAAAACTTTTCCGTATCATTCCTCCCTCTGTTTACTTCGGGATAATTCTTCTATCCATTACAAGTTCTATCCAGTTTAGCTACATTTCTTAACACTTGCATTTGGCAGTCTTGGGCTGCAGCACTGTGCTACTATATAAATTTTTTTTTTTTTGGTACCGGGGATCAAACTCCGGACTTTGTGCTTGCAAGGCAGACACCGGAACCACTGAGCTAAATCCTCGGCCCTTCTACTGTATAAATTTTGAAATCCATTGGATGACACAAGGACCAAACATTAATATTAATAGTATAACAAGAAGGGGACTCAGAAGAGTTCCTATCCAAGTTTTTTTCATCCTGCCCAAGTAAAATTAATCCCATAGGACAGCTCTCCTATACCAAATTTCTCATCAAGAGCCTTGATCTGATCTTTTAGTTTGTCTAGTGATTCTTGTACTACACCAGAGTTATTAACATATTAACAACTCTCTCCATCAAGAAATAAGCAAGTCCCTCCTTTCTGGGCTGTGGGCAAATCGAGAGCACACCTATTCTGTAATGACACTGGCCAGTCAATCTAGTTGGGTTTCTAGAGCCTGAACTGTGTCTCAAATTTCCTCAAGATCTTTTAAAATTTCTTGTCCTAATGAAATATATTACTCCTTGTAGCCAAATAAGATCCCATGGGGCTGGCATATACATAGATATAGGATTACATTGACCTTGTTTACAATTGTTACAATTACCAGTGGCTCGGCCAACAAGGGAGCCGTTGATCCAAACTTGTGTTTTCTCTTTGCAGTATAATTTTTCATTAGAATAGCCCCCCACAGTCAGAAGTTACCCCAGGTCCCCCATAATGTTTTTATCAAAGAATATTGTAAACAGATAGCCTTCTGGTTCCCATTTTACCATTTTAAAAGTCACATATTGTTCATCAAACTTTTCATAACTAGGCCTAAACACCCGGAGTTCAAAAACAAAGCAATTTAAGGCAGTGGTGATCTGGCACAGCACAATAATCCATGTCGTCCTTGTTGGTGTTTCCATCCTTCAGCCGTGCGTTGACTCACCGGCCTCCGGAGTGGTGAGAGCAGGGCTTTGAGTGCGTTGTCTTTCTCGGCTTTCAGCATCAGCTTTCTTGTTACATTGTGCAACGAAGTCTTTCCCTTTCTGATGTCCTGAACAATATATTACTGTGACTTTGCTAGGTTTCCACACTGACTCTAGCAACTGTTTAATTTCCTGTTTATTTTTAATTAGCTTCCCTTCTGCCATGAGAAGACCTCGCTCTCGGTAAATCATGCCAATGATGTATAATGCAGCAAACGCATAGCGAAAGTCCATATATATACCTTTTTACCCTTTGCCCATCAGAGTGCCTGTGTGAGTGTCCAGAGCTTAGCACATTGCACCAACAGCCCTGGCTAGGACCACCTCATCCTTCATGGTTACTGCATATCCATCATGATGAAGCCCATCTTCCACAAAGCTGCTCCTATCCATGAACAGAACGAGGTCAGCATCGGACAAGGGTATCATTTGCAAGTCAGGGCAGCTGGAAAAGAGCTCATCAGTGACACTCAAGCAGTCATGATTGGGAGGGCCTGTCTCCGTGAGCAAGAAGGTAGCAGGATTTAAAGTTTTTAAAGAAATAAACTGTTACAGTGAGAAAGAACCAACCAGAGACCGATATTAAATCCACACAGGAGTTTATTACCGGCCGGGACCCCAGCCGAGCATCGGACTCAAGCCCCGACTCGGGGGGAGACAAACATGTTTTATACACCTTTGAGCCCAGCAGTTCTAGGCCCCCCTATGGGACAGAACTAGCAAAGCAAGCAAAAGGTACAGAAGTGGAACGTCCTGCTGTTAGAACATTTGTAAAACAATAGTTGATTAATTGTTACTTCTAAAGAGACTTTCTAAGGCGAGGAGGTTTTTAAGCTTCCTCCTTCTGAGATCATCTAAAGGGCAGGCAGGTGGGTCAAGCAGTAATATGGAGTCTGTCTTGTTAACTAGGGTCCTTCATAAACCACAAGCAGGTATTCTCACAGAGAAATGCTTGATACTGAGTAACCCAATTATTTGAGAGCCATTGATGCTCCCTTGTGTTTAGCAGTTCTAGGACCGGGTGTGGAACCTGCACAGTCAGTTCCTGGCCTAAAGTCAGCTTGTCTGTTTTTTTGAATCAAGAGAACTGAAGTTGCTAAGGCCCCAAAATAATGAAGCCATCCTTTTGTTACTGAATCTAAATTTTTAGACAAATATGCCACCGGTTGATTCCATGGGCCTACTTCTTGGGTCAACATTCCAAGGGCCACATGGTTTTTTTTCTTCAGTCACATATAAAATAAAAGGCTGCTTTACATCTGGTATGCCTAGGGCTGGAGCCACTGCCCAAGTCAATTTTAAATTTTTTTTTTTAAGCTTTCTCTTTTTCTACAGTCCAATGCAGATGACTCTCCTCTTGTCCCTTTAGGACTTCATAAAGGAGTTTAGCGATTTCTATAAAACCCGGAATCCAAATTTTACAGAAGCCTGCTGCCAGAAGAAACTCTCTCAGCTGCTTCTTTGTTTGGGGTTCAGAGATGGCACTAATAACCTTTCATTTCCTAGGCAATGCATGCCCTGTTATTTGAAATCCTAAATATGTAACATGCTGTACACAAATCTGGGCTTTTCCCCATGATACCTTATATCCAGTTTCTTGTAAGTGCAGCAACAACTTTTTGGTGCCTTCCCAGCACTGTTCTTGGGTTGAGCTGCATAACAGTAATTCAGCCACATACTGCAGTAAGTTACAGCTATATTGTTCCGCGGGGAAGGCAAGCAAGTCCTTGGCTAGGGCTTCCCCAAAAAGAGTGGGTAAATTTTAAATCCCTGTGGCAATCTTGTCCAGGTAAACTGAGTCTTTCTCCCATCACTTGGGTCTCCCCATTTAAATGCAAAGATGGGTTGACTGAAGGGAGCAATGTGAATGCAAAAGAAGGCATCTTTTAAATCCAAAGGAGTAAACTATGCTGCCTCTGGGGGTATTAGACTCAACAAAGTGTAAAGGCTAGGGACTACTGGATGTAATGTCACTGTTCTGTCATTTACAGCCTGCAGATCCTGCACTGGCCCATAGTCCCCATCAGGTTTTCGCACTGGCAGCAAAGGGGTGTTCCAAGGCGACTTACATTCTCTTATAAGTCCAAATTCTTTTAACCTCATGATATGGGGCTTGATTCCAATTCGGGCTTGCCTGGACATTGGATATTGCTTTACCGAAATGGGGACAGAGTTATCTTTTAATCCTGTTAACTATGGGCAGATGATTTCTAGCCAGCCCTGGGGGCGAGTCTTCTGCCCACACTCCAGGAAACATAGCTTTTAGTTCTCCTGGAGCCTGATAAACATCATCCACATTGTAGCATTGCCATTCATCTTGTCTTTCAGTAGTTACCATCATAATGAGGTCCTTTCCTGGGTCTAAATGCAGAGACGCATTTCCCCATTGAGCGAAAGTTATTGTAGCTCCCAATTTAGATAATAAATCCCTTCCTAATAATGGAATAGGACATTCTGGCATATACAAGAATTCACGTTTCACCTTATGTCCTCCAATTTCACATGTACTTCCTAGCAAAACTGGCGCTTTTCTGAAATTCCAGTGGCACTAATCACTTGGATGCACTCTCCCCTCTGAGGGGCAACTGGAGCTGTTACTACTGAGTGTTCTGCACCACTATCCACCATTAAGGACATATTTTGGCCCCCTATCTGTATATCGACCATGGGCTCATGTGGGCCTAGCTGCATTGAGCCCCGTCTGTGTCCGTCACTGTCCTCCATCACAGGCAACAACATGCCAGTATCCTTCCTTTCCTTCAAGTCCTGCTTTTTCTTTTCCTTGAGCCTTGTCTTTCTTTTTCCTTCTCTTCCTTGGCTCCCATAGCTACTGCTATCTTCCTTCCTGGCTCTCTTTCTCTTTCACTGTCTCTCTATTCACATACACTTTCCCAGCTAATTGCAACAATTGCATTATATTCATGCCTTCCCGAGTCTCCTGCCTTTGGATTTTCCTTCTAATGTCTGGTACTGACTGGGTTACAAAAGTTGTATTAATTAGCTGATGGTTTTCAGGAATAGTAGGCTCAAAAGATGTATACATTCTGTAAAGTTTACAGAGCTACTCATAAAATCTCTCAGGGCTCTCATCAGGCTCCTGCTGTGTTTCTAGCACTTTAATCATATTTGTAGGCCTTTCACTTGCAGCTCACATTCCTGCTAAAAGGGCTGTCTGATAACTTCTCAAGTTTTCCTGTCCTGCTTGGGTGTTGGGATCCCAATTGGGCCACACATTTACTGGGAATTGCTGTTCATGGCAAGTGTCTGGATTCTGCATATCTGGAGAATATCTGCATATCCTGGCATTCTAGTGGCATTAATTTTTTAATTTCTCCTAAAACTCTGCATTTTTAGAGGTTAACAAAGTTTTACAAAGTTCTTTAAAGTCCTCCCAATTAGGACAATGGGTAGCAAAAATGGAATCAAATAATTGAAGCATTTTGGAGGGGTCTTGGCAATGAATAAATGACTTTCCTTTTCTCTGGACCTAGCCTCCTTTGTCTTTTTAAAGTCAAATCTCAAATACTGCACCTTGGTCTGACATATTTGTGCCTTTTTCCAACAGTCTTTTTTTTTCTAACTCACTATAAAGGAGGTCATATTATAACCTGTTGGCTCTTAAACCCTTTGAAGATGACCAATGTACACATATTATAGTAACATATTTAGAATTTAAACCGGGGCTGGGGATTTAGCTCAGTGGTTTCGCTGCCTGCTGTGCAAGCACAAGGTCCCAAGTTCAATCCCCAGTACCAAAAAAAACCCAAATGGGGTAGAATTTAACCCTTTGATGACAACTAATGTAAACATATTTAAACTTTTTATAACAAACTTGAAACCAACAAACATACGTATTTTTTGATAAATCAGTTTTGTGCATCTTTTGACATACCTAGGCCTTCTGGTCTTATATATATTTTTAATCTTTTTAATAAGACAAACATACAAAATTTTTTATATCAAAATTGTATCTCTTTTACTTATAGCTTTTAATTATATATTTTTTATCTCATTATAAACCTTTTATCACAAACTTGTCTTTAGCTGTTAAAATTTTAAAGTGTCCCTTTTTGCATTCTCAGATTGTTACACTTTAAATTTGGTTGGCTGCCAATAGAATGATAGTAACCTTGAGGGTTTTTTTAATCAACAAAGTACAGAAAAGAGCAAGTTAACCTTGTAATTACAATTGAAAAATTTGCAATGTACAATACTTTAAGCACACCAATTAAACATCAACTCAAACTGAAACACAGATACATTTATCATTTAACTAAAATTTGTAACTTTTCAAACTGAAACATACATTTATCAATTAACTAAAATTCCTAACTTTTCAAACTGAAACACAGATACATTTATCAATTAACTAAAATTTGTAACTTTTCAAACTGAAACACAGATACATTTATCAATTAACTAAAATTTGTAACTTTTCAAACTGAAACACAGATACATTTATCAATTAGCTACAACTTGTAACCCTTGTAAAATTTCTTACTTTCTCTGGCTTTATGTCCTTCAGAGCTTTTTTAGCTATTTTTAATCCATTACTTATTTTTTCTTACTAATTTTTAAAATTTGAGCATAAACCCTATTCGATCCTCTCTGAGTCTGACCACAGCATGGTGCTCTGAAGCCAAACAGTTTTCATGCCTTTGTCCCCACCTCCTCCAAACCTGTGAATTTAGCAACTCAAAAGGAGGGAGAAAGCCTAAATTCTCTCGGTCTGGATCTGAAAGGACCAGTTACTTTTCAGCATCGTCTCCTTTCTGACAGAGGACCAGGATGTTGCTTTTTGCTGCCGGGGAGCACATATGAAGCCAAGGAGGAATTCTGTGGCACAATTTGAGCCATAAATAAATATAGGGAAATTGATCTGGATGTTCCCATCCAGGGGCAGTAACCGTTAGCCAGATGGACCAGACAAGACCCTCACCTAGGGATCTCTCAGTTGGCCAAGCTAGGCAAAGCTCGGGCCATACTAACTCACAAAAGGCTCTAATTTTGGGGGTTTCATCTTAATACCATAATTTCCAGTAAAACCTTTCTTAAAATTCTTAAGCATGCATTCCAAATCAGTAGGATGAGATGTTTTTATCCCCACGATCGGCCGATCAGAGTGTTGGTGTGTATGGGTACCCTTGTACGGAGACACAAGACAAACAAAGGTGGGGATCACTCCCTTGCCTCCCTGGCTGCGGGCTTCTTGGCCATTTTAAGGTCCCTTCAGGCTAAGGTGGGCTGTCGCCTAAGCTCACCATTATGCCTTTGTTCGACCACACACACACAAATTCTACAACTCGGACTCGGGGAGGAATCTTCTTTAAGCACAAGCACTTCCTCTCTCTGTCTTGTTCCACAGCTCATTCCACACACTCTCCTATCCAGAGCTCTTTCACTCACACATTTATTCAGAAGTTATCACATTCCCTCCCAGTGACCCCCTAACCGTAACCAAAACAAATGAAAGAAGCTACCTCCGCAAATGGCAAAGCACAAGGGGTGATCAGGC